TAATTAATATTACTAAATAAAAATTAATTTTGAATTTAAATTTAAAAAATTAAATTTGATAAAAATATTAGATTGTAAATAAAATATAAAATATAATTATTACCTTAAACATGAATGTAATTTGGTTGCTTTTGAAATTAAATCTTCCCATAAAGGTGCTCCATTCTAAAAACAAATGTTTATATTTATAATTTTTAAAAAAAAATTATCTTTATTTTTATAAATAATATAATTATTATTATTATCATTGTTTTTAGTATTTTTATATTTAAAACTTAACATCTATAATATAAAATTAAAACAGAATTCATTATATAAAATATAAAATCAAATATAAAATCATATACGCTTACCTAATTTCTATGATTAGATAATTTTATGAATTAAAAGATCATTTTGAAAAAAAATAAAATATAATTGCATATACAATATATATTTGTATAGATTTCTAATGAAATCAAATATTTTTCAAAAAACATCATGTTTATAAAATAAAAATTTGTGATATATGCTATCATCAATTATGCTAAATATTTATTAGTATATTTAAAGAAAAAATATACATTCTCTCTAATATCTTGTAAAAATTAAAAAATATTTTAGAGTAATATTATAAAAGTGGAACAAATGTAAATTAGCTTTGGTTCTCATTTTATCACATTAAAATATCGCAATGATTTTAAATTTTAAAATATAATATTAAAAAATCAAAACAACGGAATTTAAAAAAAAAATATTATAAAAAGAAATAATGGAAGAAATATATTTTTTTCGATTATAATACTTAATATGTATTAAGGACAATCGCATCGACAACGCGCCTTGGCCTGCATCGTTACTTGTGCAAAGATAGTAAAATATACAAAAAAACAATGAACAGGAAAAAACGCGGTCGTGTAATAAAATAAATATTGAATATTGACATGTCGATATCACTTACTTTCATATCAGTTATAATCTGTTGAAAGAGGCCACCTAAAGCACTACACTCTCTCTCAATTGTTGCATCCATCTTTGACTATCCAATTTTTTTCCTTACTTGGCCCCAATAAAGTTCTTCCGCATTAGAATCGTAGAATAGTTCACTTTTTGTCATTCATATAAAAATATACAAAATTTCCATACGAATATCGGCGATTCATAAGATTCGCCATTTTCGTAACAAGAAACGACAAGTTTGAAGTAACAGAAAAACACAACTAAATGTATTTACCTATGCGTTCTCATATATATATATATACACATATACACATATGTATATATATATATATCACAATTGCTCTCGAATAAATTGATTCGGAAATCAACACTCACTGTAAATATTTCCTAGATATTGGTAATGATTGGAAATCATAATATTAATTACTTTTGTCTAAGAAAATTGTAAACACTAGCGACTGTTTTTTCAACACAACGCACTCATTCTATTGAGCAAGTATGGCTCGCGTCTGCGTCGCTTCTGTTTTCGTTGCAATACCAGAATATCGGTGCCCCCTACGGCGACCTCGTTTCAGAACTTCAAATTGAGGATTTGGGGTATATCTAATCGTTACTCAGGGTAACGGCTTTCTCTACCCCTTAGATGATCACTTCCGGAGTGTCGACTATTGAAAGAAGACATCTTGCATCATTGCTTGCTCATTCTGATTGGTTCAGAATAATTTTGAGGAAACATTTATCATATAGATATCGTGTTTTTAAATTGTGAAATTAAAAAGATTGATTTAAAAAAATATTCATAAAATATAAATGAAATAAAAAATAATTTAGAAAAAACAAAATCATGAGTCTTATGTTAAAATATAACGAATCATTTTATGATATATTATTTAAACATTTTGTAACATTGAGTGAAATTTCAAATATTTTTAAATTTATTGTTCTCATTGGATTTATCATTATCATTTCTTATATGCTTTATTATATATATGGTTATTATATTGTATTTTGAAATTTAAAATTTATTTTAAATTGCATTTTATTAATTGCATGATAAGTAAAATTTTATTAATTAAAATTTTATTAATATCATATTTATTTTTATATTTTTTAAAGTTATATATTATTCACAGCAATTTATTATATTTTAAATTTTAAATTACTTATTTTACAGATAATTATCATAAAAAATTTATAAATAAATCTAAATATGATGATTTAGAATTATATAAATTAAAGAATTATAATCGACTAATTACGCGAAATCAAAGTATAATCAGTCATAAAGAAATGTTAAATACTCTAGAATATGCGGCTGATGTAAATTAATTTCTATTAAATATCATATAATATTAATTCTATTATGAAATATTAAACATATAAAATTTTACATAAAAAATATATTCTTAAAAATTATTACTTTCATATCAGTTATAATTTTTCTTAAATTATATTTTTTTTTTTTATTTTATGATGATTATATTCAATGATTTATTCAATGATTTATTAAATTTATAAATTTTTTAGAATTGTTGTAAAACATTTTATGCATTAAAATGCATTGATATAATAGTACATTGTCCACAATTAATAAATGTAAAATGTTCATCCTCTGGTTTAACACCTTTTCATCGTATCTGTTTGCAAGGTCATAAATGTTTAATTGCTTTTATGTTAGCAAAAGGTATGCATAAAATAAAATAATAATATCATAATTATTAATATATCATAATTATATCATATCATAATTGTATATTATATATATATTATAATAATTTATAATTATATAATAATTATATAATTTATAATTATACCATAATTATATTATATTTTTTACAATTATATTAAATAATTTATATTAATATATTAATATAATGTAATATATATTAATCATAATACATAATATTTACAATATATTAATAAATATTATCATAATACATAAAAATTAAGAATTAAATATATTTTCTAAAATTATATAGGTGCTGATCCTTTTCTTACTACAATAAAAGGAGAAAATGCTTTGTGTATGGCTATTTATTATATTCTTAATAATCCAACAGAAACTGATTTTTCTTGTCTTGAAATGCTTGCAGAAACAGGTTAATCTTTATAAAGATTTAATTTTTTATTAACATCATATATTTTTAATATAATATATTATCATAGGATGTGGATTTGGTTCTAAAGATAAATGGTACAATAATTTGTTAAAAATGGCATTTAATAATAACCATATACAATTAGTACAATGGTTAATTTTACATTATAATGTTTCTTCATATAAACTTTTGCGATGTTTATCTACACCACCAATGAAAAACCTATAAATTCTTAATATAAATTTAATTAATAAACATTATTTTTATAAAATAAGTTATAATATAATTATAGTTATAATATAAATTAAATATAAATAATAAAGTTAATTTTCATATTTGTGTTTGTAAAGAAACCTACTTATTATAATTTCTATTTATGAATTAATATTCTGTACATCTAATATACAAAAATAATAAATATTATTTATAATAAAAATAAAAAATAAAAATAAAATTGAATCAAAAAATTAAATAATTTAAAATTAATGTGAAAAATTAGAAATTAAATCTAATTATGTCGCAAACAATGAATACAAGGTATATTTTATTAAAAAAAATTGTTATTTTTTGATATTTTTATACTTATAATATAGTTTATATATTTCAAATATAAGCCTGTATGAGATCTCATAGTAGACAATACTGAATTTTTATTTCAAAATAAACATAACCTAATAAATATTCTATGAAACATTCATTCATAATAATATATTGTTATGATAAATATAATACTAAATTGTGACACTGTGAATAATTATAGTGCAATATTGTGAATAATAATAATGCATAGTTAATGTTACCTAATTATAAATAGGATATTTTTCATGTAAAATTTTTTAATATTAATTTTTGAATTAATAAAAAAATATGTATATTATATTATATTAAACTTTAATTTTAATTTAATAATAAATTTTATTTGTATTATTTCTTATATATTATGTTTTTATTTAAAATAATTGAAATAAATTAAAATAAATTAAATAAATAAACAATTATTAGATTACTGATATTTATTGAGATATATATATATATATATTCATAGAATCATGTTCACATTCATTGAAATGAATCATTAAGGCAAATCAACAATTCGTGAACATTGTTCGCAATATTTTGTCAATTTATTGTATTTATCGTTCACAAAAATGTCCATATTACATAATATAATTTATGAACTGTTGCAAATTGTTCGTGAATATGAAGTTTTATTTGGTTAAAATAATCAAATCAAATGACATAATGTCGTTATTATGACAAATTTGAACTATTAACTGATAAATTAATGATTAACAACATTAGCAATTTTATACTGTTATAATTTATGTTTATGAATAACTAATTCCATAAATAAATTAATATATGAAAAATATCTTATTTTTAAATTTTAGAATTGTGAATTTAATTCTAGTTCCCTAAAGTTTTAATCATATGATTTTGTTTGTATTCGATAACTCGATTCAGTCATTAAGTTGCCAGTAAATAAGATAAAATAGTCAGGAATGACATAGAAAGTAGAAGAGTGGGAGAGCAATGTTATACGCAAATACTAAATATTTTATTGTGATGTAATTTTCATATGATTCTAAAAATAGTTTCTATTAAATATTTTAATACAGTAACGTGCAATATCATTTTTTTAAACTCTTACGCTATTGCTGACCATTTTACTCCGCTTACTAAAAAAAGTTCAAGAATTGCAATTCTAATATTTATAAAAAATATCATCGTATGACATTATCTTTTTTATGCTTGAAGTAATTGTGCATATAATACACAACACGAGGATTAATATTTAAGATATTCTATTACATTAATTTTATTACATCATGGAAAAAACAGGTTTATTAGTTTTAACAAATCCTGCGAGAATAACACAATTATTACCAATTATCAAGAAACATGTATCAGAAACTTTATATATTCAATATTTGCCGTGCAAGAATATTTTTAGTGAAATATTGCATATAGATTATACATGGGGAATAAATCGTTTCGCTCAAGCAATTTCCAATATTTATATGTATACATCTTCTATATCTGATCAACTTGATATTCGTGTGTTACTTACAAGTATAAAAGAACGTCATATACGATTACATACTAAGAAACATGTGGAAATAGTTATTTTTGATCAAAATTGTAGCAAAAGTCAAGCTGATAAATTCATCGAAAGATATTTATTTTCCAGTTTTATTACTTGTGTTATTCCTACTGATGATTTGGAATTAGAAAAAACTAAAAAATATCCATTACATTTTCATGGATTATATTTTGATGTTAATGAAAAAAAAAATGATAAAAATGATGTTAATGAAAAAAAAAATGATAAAAAAACTTATAAGAATGTAGTACTTGGTGGTACATTTGATCGAATACATAATGGTCATAAAATATTTTTAAGTGAAGCTTTATTACGTTGTACAGAAAAACTTACAATTGGTGTAACTGATCAATCTATGTTGTCTGGTAAGAGACTTTAATTATAAATTATTATAAATATATATAATTTATATATTAATAAGTTATTAATAAGTTATTTATATTATAGAATTTTATGTATAAAATAAATTCTATTGATAATATTCATAGAATAATTTTTAAATATATACTTTAATTAATTTGGATAATTGAATTTATAGAAAAATTATTATGGGAATTGATAGAACCTTGCTCTTTAAGAATGTTTAATTTGGAAGAATTTTTAAAAGATATAGATAGTACTATAAAATATGAAATTGTATGTATAAATGATATGTATGGTCCAACTAAATATGATTCAACATTTGAAATGATAGTAGTTAGTGAAGAAACAAAAAATGGTGCAGATAAAATAAATGAATTAAGAATAAAAAAAAACTTAAACAAATTAGATATTCATGTTATAAAAATTATAACTGATGAGCATCATAAAGAACATGAAGAAAACAAAATCAGTTCTAGTAATCAAAGAATACGATTATTAGGAACAAAACTTTATGCTCCTGTATGTATTATACTAATTTTATTATACAAATGATTTATATTAATAAAATACATAATATTTCAGCGAATTGAAAATAAACCTTTGAAACCTTACATTATTGGTTTGACTGGTGGTATAGCAAGTGGAAAATCATCAGTAGCTGAGAAATTAAAAAAATTAGGTGCTGCACTTGTTAATTGTGATAAAATAGCACATGATTTATATTTACCTGGTAATAAGTGTTTTGATGAAATTGTTAATAATTTTGATTCTAATATTTTAAAATCTGATGGATTTATTGACAGAAAAGTACTTGGACATATAGTATTTAATGATAAAGTAGGTTTCTATTTTTTTATATTATTAATAATATTTACTATTATTATTTTTAAAATTATATTTAAAAATATAAATTTATTTATAGAAACAATTAAACAAATTAAATGAAATTCTTTGGCCCATGATTTTAGAAGAAGCAAAAAAACAGATAAATGACTTTAATACAAAAGGATTTGATATAATTGTAATGGAAGCTGCTGTTTTAATTCAAGCAAAGTGGCAACACGAATGTCATGAAATCTGGACTTGCATTATTCCACAAAAAGAAGTGAATTTTTAATGGATTAAAATTATTAATATTTTATATTGGAATATTTTTAATTAATCAATTTTAAAATTTTTTTATAGGCTATACAACGAATAATGGAAAGAAATACATTAACAGAAACTGATGCAAAATTAAGAGTTCAAGCTCAATTAAATAATAAAGATCAAGTTGATGAAGCTAATGTTGTAATATGCACTTTATGGAGTCATGAAATTACTGAAGGACAAGTGCAAAAAGCTTGGAATGAAACAATGGAATTTTTAAATGATCAAGAAAAAAATTGAATTTTAATATTACAAAATTATAGTTAAAATTGTTAAAGTTTTATAGATTATTTTATATTATATATTATTATGTTATATTTTATATATTATTATTTTTATAGATATTTATAGAAATATTGTTTATTATTTTAATAAGTTGTATACAAATTATATAATATATTTATTATATTTGAGAAAATTTTAATAGTTTTTTGTATTAATTAAAGTAATTAATATGCATTTAATCAAATATTTCTGTAAAGAAAATAAAATTATTGACTCATTTACAGGTATGTAACATAATATGTATAATTGTAAATTTTCTCATAAAGTACATAATAGTTATATAATATTTATACATTTATTATAATATAATTGTATTTTTTCTTTCTGTTGCAATTTAAAATTATAATTTTAATGTTATTAGCAATTATAAATAATTTTATACTATTTCAAATATTAAGCTAAATTTTCAGACATCATCAAAATGATAATGACATCCTAATTTTCAATATTTCTTGAAATTAATTTATTACAATTTTATATACATAATCGTATAAAATATTTTTTCCTTAATAATTTTCTTTACCATTTATAAAAAAAAGATTATAAAATATAGTTACCATTTTTTTTTTTACAAGTTTTTCATTTTTTCATGTAAAAAATGAACAAAAATAATAGAAATGTACAAAATGATAGCACACTTATGAAAAAACAAATCAATGTTTTATTGTTTGAGGATAGAAAGATTTTTTATATACTTATCATATGTTCAATTTGAATTTAATTGCAAAAATTGTCTATCATATTAGATTTAAAAGATAAAGATAAAAAATATTAATTTTTGTTATATTTCAAAAAATAATAATTTTTTATTTTTATCAATTTCATACTACTATTTTTTTCTAGCAAAATTAATTTTGATTTATTAGAATTTTTTTTATCAATATATACTATTTAGAAATTATTTCATTTTTAATACAAATAAAAATTTATTAAAAAATATTTTGCTCTGATGTTTGATATTTATATATTTATATAATATATTTTTACAATATATTTATATCTTTTTGATTTTTATAATTATGTATTTTGTTAAGTATTGTACTTATGAATGATGAAAAATCAGCTTTTAATTTACTTCCACCATTTTCGATATTGCATTTAACATGAGATATTTTCATAAATGTTGAAGCTATGTAAATTAAATAAAAATATATAAAATAATAAATGTTTTATTATAATTATTAATATTATATTAATATAAGTACTCACAAATAATTTTTGAAACCTCAGGATTTTTGTTCTCAGGATCGTAACAAAAAATTACACATCTGTCTGGATCTAATTTAGTTTGATCAATAAAATAATCATATAATTGTTGAATTTCTTTTAAACATTCATTTGATTGTTCACTATAAATCAACATAATACCATGCACATCCTTTCTTATAGCTGGCCAACAATATTCATATCTAAAATATATTCATATATTTTGTTATAACTTATAATTTTGAATAAATAAAATATTTATATATACTTATGATCTCCACTACAATCCCATAATTCAATATCTTTTGTGATATGACTGTTATTCACATTTATATTTTGCACTTCAAATTCTAGTATTCGTACTCCTTTAGTTGGATAATAATCATAGGGTATTTCTGTAGCATCCGCAAGAAAATTAGATATTGTTGTTTTACCACTCTAAAAGATATTTTTTAAATAATTGAAATTTTAGGATTAACGCAATATATATTTATATGTATATTATATACATATTAATTACAATTTTATGTAATTATTTTTACTGTATATATAATGAGTACAATAAAAAATAAATTAAATTTTTATATAACAAAAAATGGATTATTATTTATAAAGTATAAAATTAAAATATTACCCTAAGAGATCCAATAACTATTATTTTTAGTGATTGCATATTTTATATATATTTTAGTTTGATACAAGTAGTTTTTTCCTGTATTGAATGTTTGGAAAATTGTCGCTATAACAACCATTTATATCTATATACAGTAGTGTCTGTTTTAGCATTTATTGTTATCTGTGACTGATTTTTGGAAAATTGAACTTTGGCTTACGAGTTTCAATACTGAATAAATTGCTAATTTGACATTGATCTGATTTATATTATTCAATTTAAATCGAAATTCTGTAATTTATTTGAACTTATAAATGACTTCTATAAATTTAATTTGGACAAAGTTGAGTGAATGCTAAAATAGACATTATTGTATCTTACAGATTTAGCCTTTTAATAATAAATCAATATAAAAGGTCAATAAACATAAAAATACATATTTCATTGAAAATAAAAAAACTTATATTTTAGAATATAGTTAATTATTGATAAGCATAAAATTTATTTGTATATGTCCATTTATTATGATACATAAACATTAGTTTGAACACGATACAAGTGAAACATTAGATATAAAATAATAGATTATATACTATATATGTATACTATATAAAGTATAATTTCTTAAAGAAAGCAGTTTTCTCTTTTTTGGAAAAATGCAATTTCAATTACGTATTCATTAATTAATAATGTATTTACAACTACTTTTACATTATTATCATCTGTACTATTTTAGGTAAATAGAATTCGATGATAAATAAACTATTAATATTAATATATAATGAAATAATTATACAATAAAAAAAAGTGAAAATTAAAATGTGATAATCAATATTAAAATATTAATTTCTGTAAATACAAATTAAATATCTATATAATCAATAAATTTGATATCATCTTTACATAATCATTTGATAAGATTATATTTATTATTTATATTATTTCCTGCTGATAAAAGAAATATATTGATTATTGTGACTTATTTATAATATATTCATTATATTATTACATATATTATAATGCAAAATTATAAAAAAAAATATTTCCATAAATCTTTTATACTGATATGATATTCTAGACTGATGTATGATATTTGCAATTATTAAATTTCTTGAATTTTTTTTTTAATATGCAATAATTCATATAATATATGAATAAAAATTTTCATTGTAAAATAAGTAACACTATGATATAGTATCACAATTTACATATTATAAAAATTAATATTATTTTTTAAACCATTGGTTGATCTTGGATTATTGGCGTGGTTTCATCTGGATAGTTTAAACCATATAAAGCAAAAAGTGCAGATTTTGCTGCTATTTTCTTCGCATCTTTCTTGTTTTTTGCTGTAATATATATCCATACATTTTTTATATAAAAAAAAAAAAAAATAAAATAAATAAAAAAATAAAATAAAAAAAAACAAAAAAACAAAAGTAAAATAAAAAATTATGTATGTTATATATATAATTTTCAAAATGTTATAAATATTAAATATGAATTAGAAATTAATCTTTATTACTAATAATTTACTTTAATGTACAAATATCTTTTTGTACAGAATAAACATATAAATATTTAAAGTAAAAAAGAAATCAAACTATATATACAAAATATATATATTATATTACCTGTTCCCGTATATTCAATCCCATCAATATCAACAGCAAGAGTAAACATTGTGTTAGGTGGATTGCCAACACGATTGAGTTCTACATATGTTAAACCTGGTCTCATTTGATTTAATAACATAACAGGATGTATGTTTGTTGCATTGGGCGGAAGTTCTTTTTGAACTGGAGTTTTTTGGACATGAGAAATCTCTCGTTTGCTTCCTTTAACAGGTGATGGTAATCCTGGTCTTGGAACTGGAACTGATGTTCCTTGATTATGCCATTCAAGGAAAAGTTTATACAATGCAAAGCTAGCTAAAGAACTCCATGGAATTTCATCACTTTCATCAATACTAATATCCATTGGTGTTCCACTTTCTTCATTATTATCTTCTTTTGATGTATTAGATGATTCTATAGCTTGATTTATTTGCCCATCTGATTCAGCATCCATACGTGCTTTCATAGTTGCAGCTGTCATTTTTTCAAGTAATAAAGCCTTCAATGCATTTTCAGCAGCGTTCTGACGAGCAAGTGGCTTAGATAATCCTTGTCCAACATAGGTTTTACCATCAAGCTGTTTTATTTTTAAAAAAAATTATTTTATAATTTTATCATTCAAAAAATTCAAAAAATTTATAAATATATTAAATTATTTTAAATACCTCTGCATGAACAAGATATAGAGAATTTGGCATAGGTCCTTGAGTTTCAGGAAATGTAAATTGCACTCCAGGTTTCATTTCATTTAATACCATAATTGCATTTTTTGGTTGCAATGTTTTTCTTAGACGTTGATTTAAACGAAGTCGTTTTAGTCTTTTATTTACCCTAACTAAAGGTATAAATTTTAATTAATTTATTAAGTAGTAATATAATTTATTAATTTTTTTTCAATATTTATATCAGTATATTAATATTCACAATGATTATTAATATTCCATAATTCAACAATAAGTTACTGGAGCATATAGTAATAATTCTAATCTTCAAATTTGCGCAGTGAATTATCATCATTATTTAAATAATAATTATATTTTGTAAATATTTCTTTCATTTTTTAAATTATTTATATAATTATTTTTTTCAAAACAAATTTTTGAATTAATTTAAAAAATTGAATTTAAATTTATTATATACTTATTGATTATTTTAGACACTTACATCCAGGTGCCTTACGCCTCCATCTTGGATGTTGATCTTGTATTTCCATATCTGTATTTTCAGGCACTTGATTTTCATTTTTTACTTCACATATATTACTTGGCAGTGTAGGATTAGAATTAGTTGTTAAAGGAGATGTTGGAGTGGAAACTAATGATTGAGATGATGAAATAGGATTATTTTGCGCAATTGCTGCAGTTTGTTGTTGAGAAGGTTGTTTTAATATTGGTTTTAATCGTTGAGGTTGAGACTGAGATTGAGATTGTGATTGAGGCTGTGATTGAGATTGAGATTGAGATTGAGATTGTGATTGAGATTGAGATTGAGGTTGTGGCTGAGATTGAGATTGAGAAGAATTTGTAATTGATTGTTGAGGTTGCTTAATTTGTGATTGTGGCAATTGTTGTTGTGGTTGAGATTTCCCTTGTTGCAAATTCCTTAATGTTGCTGGTTGCACCTGTGCCTGTTGAGGTTTCCCTTGTTGTAAGTTCCTTGCTGCTACTTGTTGTATTTGTGGTTGTTGCTGCTGTTGCTGCGGTTTAAATGATTGTGAATTTTGTGCACTTCCTTGTTTGTAATTATTTTGCTGATTTGGAGAAGATTGTGTTCCTTGAAAACTGCCTTGCTGATTGTACTGCAAAACATAGGGTGGGTCGCCGCTACACAAGGAACCTGTACGGTTGTGCTATCCCACCAAGGTCTAGCATCGCATATGCATTTGAAAGCAATCTAATGCTACCCTCATAATTCATATCAACCAAATTTCTTCTATGGCCAATATTTCTTTATATATAACTGAACTGTGTTTATATATAACAAAAAAAAAAAAAAAAAAAAAAAAAAGATTTTTAAATTTAACACTCTTATTCTTTCTATAGTAGTTTTATTGCTATATATAAAATTATGAAATAAAATATCATTTTCAGCAGAAGTATTTTATGTATATTTTATAATTTTTATACATAAAATTAAATAAATTCTATTGCAATTATAGATTTATAATTCTGTCTTTTAAGAAATCTTTAATTATTGAAATATTTACATTTTCATTTGTTATGTAAAATTTTTATCATAGTAAAATAATTTAAGAATGAAAGAAAAATTAATATGTATTTTATAAATTAATATTAATCTATAACATAATATATCAAAGCAATTTACAATTTATGAAAAACAAATACTTAAACTAATTATTTAATTAAAATTTAACAAATAATAATATTAGAAAAATATAAAACTGAATATAATTTTTTCTAAATTAAACATTAATATTTGAAAAAATATGATATATATATATATCATATAATATATATATATATATATATATTATACAAATTAATGAATTTATTATAAAGTATTCATTAAAAATGATAATTATTTCTACATTATTTAAACATCAGTTCAGTATGTTATTAAAAATATGGCTTATGGAGGCTATGCTATGTGGGTAACTGACGAACTAGTCCCTGGCTGAATAGACCTCCTCGGTATTGTTGTATAGCTACTATTTCCTGCATTGCAGGGGAGGGGAAAGTAGGGACCACTAATTAGTACATGCAAATGGATGGAATATTGGAAACAACAAATGGAAGAACATTATAATTGTGATGAATCTAAAATATTTCTAATGCTTTCTTTTTTTTTTGAAACAAAACTAAATATGTTTCATAATATTTTTCAATATAAAATGTAATATTCAAGACATAAATAAAATTTTTAATTTATAAATATTTTACAATTATAGAAAATATTTTGAATAATTAATTTTATAACATGTATGTTTTATTATTATATATTTCATTAAAAAATACTAAAGATGAATGATTCATTTAAATTAACTAACTTTATTTTTATTCTATTATTTATTTACTTTTATTCATATTATTATTTAGATTATAAGATTTCATTTAAAAAATAATTAAGAAAAACAGTAAAGTATTAAATACTTTGATTATCAGAAAAATGTATGATTAATAATTTTGTAATATATATTTATATACATGTAAGTATTTTGTAATAAAATTTCTGATACATATACAAAATGATATTATTACATACCTATAACTATATGATATATATCTTTATATTCTTAAAACTAATTTATATTTTGGTACATGAATTAAAGTATTATATAATAATATAAAATATTATATTATAATAATATAAATTCAAACAATAAAACTATGTTATTTTCATATTATTTTTATATTATTGTATATTTTTATATTATTTTAAATTATGATATAAATTATTTAAATATATTAAACTATACTATACACAAAAAACTGTTTATTCCTTAAATATCAAATTACAAATATAAATTTATCAAAATATTTTGATAAATTTATATATATTTTATATATAATTTACATTACATGATTATCAATCAGCCATAATAAATATATAATAAGCATAACAAATAAATATACATATATAAAATATTAAATTCAAAAAATACTTTCTCTATAAGTGTTTAAATAATATGGAAAATTTAAAAAAAATCAAAACAAACACAAAAATTAAATTCAAAAGTTTTCTGAAGCATTTTTTAAATTTATAATAACTTTAATTATATTAGATAAAATGAGATAAAAATAGAGCATGATAGAGAAAGATATATTTACTTTATTGTTATCTCACTTTATCTAGTGCAAAATTAAATTGTTTATAGTTTGAAAAAAGAAATTTTAATGAATATTTTCTAACATATTAACTTTTATATTTATTTTAATTTCTAAAATCACTCTTTAAATTTTCTATTTATTTCATTTAAATATTTTGTATATTATCAAATGTAAATGTATCTTATATTGCAAAAATATGAAAAGCAGAATTTTATTTAAAAATAATATAAATTATTTCAAT